TCATTTTCGTATGAATTTTTAAGTTGCACTTGAAACATGATTTTTCCTTAACCTTCTTTGCTTGTGACGACTCTGTTGTTGTACGTCTTTGTTTCGATCTTCAAAACTGACCAGCAGCCGCAACTATAGCACATACCGTGTTATATTAATTTTCAGCTAACCCAGCGTAACCTAACCGGAAAGTTATTTTATCTTGATTCTCATTAAAATTAAAGTGGAGTTTTTGAAATTTAAACTAGATTTTTCTTTCAACTCTAGACTTTGTACATAAGTAACCTATCAGATGTTTCAGAGGCAGAAATAAAGGAAAATTAAAATTTATCGGACACACAGGTATCCCACTTTATGACAAACGATTTGCAACACTTGCTTCGGCGCTTATCTCCGTTAGGGTTCCAGCAGCTAGAAATGCTGTCACAAAACAGCATTGGATGTGGCTATTTATTGCTACGTTTGAAGTAATAAAGCCAGGTGACCACTTGGCGCTTCGTCTTTGGCCTCATTTCCATGTCGTTGCGCGTATTTACCTATTACCTTCAGGAATAAAGGCAAGGGACTCTAGCACAGATGCGCCAGAGCACACTGCAGCCGTTACGTGCATTTGTCATACAGTGTGACCGTCAGTATTGCAATTTCTAGTGTGACCACTTCGAGGCTGAATTATTTCTAGATCATGAATTTGCTTTTTACTTCATGAAAAGAACGAACTCTATAGAATTAACGGTTATTAAGAAACATCTGCTGTGCGCTTCGATTCAAACTGGCACCTTTACATGAAACAGCAGTTTTTTACTATCGATACTCCCACCCATCGTCATGCATGTACACCTTTTTACAGTGAAATTTTGGTCACTTGCTGAGTGCCTACCTCCAATATTTTTAACCACGAGGTCCATGTGTTTATTGTGAGCGGCCGCGATAGCATCATAAGCACGTCACTCTAACTGGATCAAGCAGTTGACCAACTGACCATGCAAAGTTAGTTGTCAGCCGTCCTTTAGTACATTCGTCTCTCTGCGATTGTTAAATCAGCAGTGATATTTTAATCCCGTAGTATTTTAAAACTACTGTTTCTTTGTTTATTCCAACATGATTTCCCATTGTCAGCCATTGTTTTATCAGGATAGCTGTGCAGCTATGATCGTCACTTAATATTAATTAATTGCGGAAGCAAGTGGCATGCGTTAGGTGCATTCATGAATTTCACGTTTATTAGGAGACTACACGTTTGCTTGTAGAGTGTTCTTATACAGTGCTGACTCTGAGATCGCTTCTCATAATCAGAAAATTTTAAAGTTGTTATTTTTCGGTTGGCCATGGTTTCTTCAGAGTAGGCGACTCGACGTCATCCTGCAGTACAGACATTGCGATTTTATTCAATTTTTTTCACTGTCACCACCTCATGTACTTTACACTAAGATTGAATCTATTAATCCGAATTGAATGCTACTCGTCGTATCTTAAAAAACTGCACCTCTCAACAGCCTCCTTTTAATAGATTTTTTCCTGAAATGCCTTAGCAGATCAGTCATTTCCTAAGCGTTATTTTGCCGCCATTCTTTTTTGCATGTGTACATATTACATAATTACATATGCATGATTTATATTACAGACTTAGAGACAAGTCTTTAGATGGCTTCAGGAATACCCGCTTCGATACTGATTTTCTCTTGACAGTCGTGCGAATAAAAGTAAGAGTAAACCGTAGATGAACTGTGGTAAAGCGAAAGTTTCAGTAGTATGATTTTTGTTAACGTTCATGCCTTTTGTCTGCTGGTTGTTATTTTTGAATCATTTTAGGCTTGTGTCTAGAAAAGCGGATCTTTTACAGGATTATCAGTGGTTTTCATACAAGCATTACGGTCTCCATTGCAGCCAACTGTTATAAACCAGGTTAGTTTTTAAGCATTCATAATTGGATATATACTCAATGTTAAACTTTGCATCTGCCATTTCGTTGTGTCCCCTTTTCTACAGTCAATTTTAAGTGTACGATTCCAGTTGAAAGCTTTTTATTCGCTAAGTTGTTCCTGAGTGCCTACCTTTAAATACAGTTAAGCCCAAAGATACAGAAAGCTTTAGTCCTCGATGACGTTACTATCCTCGGCCTGTGCCAGGTTGCAAAAAATACGCTGTTTTCTAAACGTGATTCTGGTGAAGTTGCTTCCTATTATAAAATCAAATGAAGCAAGCTTTCACAGTTGTGCCATAAGGAGTTCTCGTTTAAAAATTTTGCGATAAGAGACCTTAGTTATAATTTAAGTTCTTAGCCACCATTGGTTCAAATGTACTTTCGAACTGATTTATCAGTTGTTTTCTACGGGCTACCATTTCTAGTAGATAAATAAGCTGTACGATGGGTCACGACGTACTGCAGCCATAAAGCGCCCGTCACAGATGGCCGTGGATATCGCTTGTACCCACTTTTGGGCTAGCAGAATTAAACAAATCCCTTGCTGTTTACAAGGAAAGCATGAGTTCTGAAGTTCAAAAGTGTCTTCATCTACTATTGAGACGAGGCGAATAACATCAAATAGAAGCAGCGTT